AACCCCCGTAGATTTTCTAACTTACCAGCGTAAGAGGATATACAAGAGATGCAGGAACAAAGATAGGGTATGGTTAGGTGGAAAGTGATGAGACGGTTGATGCTAGGTAGGAGTGATAGATGGCGGAGAGCGATTAGGTCTCCATACTGCGTAATCTGTGGTCGCGAAAGGTACAGACTCGAGCGCACCTTCTTTGAGTACCCGTATTTAATTGAGGATAGATACAGCATCTAGAAAAATTTACAGACATAGACATTACGGTCAATAATGTCACGGAAATGATGGTTAGAAGTAAGGAAGATTAGGTTCAGATGTTAGATACGTAGAAAGTAACCACATATGTTACCTTTGAAACAATATTTTTTATCCTGGAGCACTAAATTTTCAAGCGTACAACTGTTGTTGAGCATATCTAATTTTTTTAACTTTTGTGAAATCTCTTTTGCATTTGTTCGAGATTGTTTTTTTTGTTATAAGTTGTTGTGCGTTCTGCACCACAAATATGCTCCAACAGGCTAGACAATCAATAAAGAGTACTACGTTGAAATTTTGAAAAGATTACATGCGCACGCATTAAACCTTGTGCAGCAGTATTTATTGAAACACAATGTTACGGAGTTCCTCCACACAGTCTCGCTATGGCTCCCTACAACTTTTGACTGTTTTCTCGATTGAAAATGCCGCTTAAGGGATATCGATTCGACGATAAAGATACTGTTGAAACTAATACGATGAATACGCTAAAGGCGATAACAAAGTCTGACTTTCAAGAGTACTTTAATAAGTGAAAACATCATATGAGCGTCTTATTCAATTGAATAGGGACTACCTTGATCAAGCGCTGAGAAATCGATAGGTCGGATATTTTTGGAACAGATTTCATATATCTCGGGTCCATTTGATCTGTACTTCTCTCAAACAAACCATTTGAATTTATTTTCACTTACTTAACCTTTTTTCTGTATTGTAAGTGATATTTGAGCTATATGCAAGAAGGTAGGCTAATATTCTGAAGCTCTAATTGGCAAAAGTAGCGTGTGATTCAAACAGCTAACGAAGGTAGTTTGCGTACAGAAATATTTAGAACAAGAAATAATTTTTGTTCAATCTTTATTAAAATAAGAGTTTACAATGAATTATTGCATTAAATAAGGTATCGATGATACTGTACACATTCAATATGAATCAATCAGTTTTCATCGCTATTTCCTTCAATTTTGAGTTACAAGACTCTTGTGTTCAAGAAAGCCCTAGGCATTCTACTTATGAAGTCGTTTTTGACAAATTATCTAGATTACTCTCAAGTTACCCGTTACAAAAAGAATACTTCTTACCGACTTACGGAGGCTATGTCACCGACTTACTCATTCAAATAATAGGAATTTAAAAACTGGTATAGGACAATTCAGTAGCTTCTAAAAAAAAGTCAAAAAAATATTACCATAAACATTTTAGCCCGAAAAATTTTAAGCTGGGAGATTATGTATTTCTAAAAAGCGATTCAAAACTAAGAAAATTAGAAGATTATTACTCAAGTGCTTTTAAAATAATAGGAATTCTACCGAAAAACAACGTCAAAATACAAATGAATAAAGGAACCAAAGTAGTTCAAACAAATAGGCGTAGGATATGTTCTATTAATAATAGTAAAAGTTTGTAGATAAGTATAAATAGAAATAAGGAATTCTGAAATAGAAATAAGTAAAATAAGTGGTTTACTTCTCAATAATCAAGGAATAGTTATCTTTTATTTTTCAGAAAATGGACATGACTAAAAAACTTCGCTCTGCACACTAATTCTGTATACCATCCTATGCCAAGGGGAAGTCATCATAGGATATGATTGTGGAGCGTGATCATCGAACATCACCACCATTTTTCTGCTTGACGTAGAAGAATGTGAAATATCCTCCAGAATAATCAATAGGACTCGTATCAAGATCTATGTATAACTATTGCAGTTAAACCAATTTAAGGATGTACATGTAATCCAATGCAAGATTCAACTGTAACGTAACATCTACGATTGCGGAATGCATTCCTATAGTTCCATTGTTAAAGACGAAATGCATGAGTATATATTTGAGGTTAGCCAGAAATGCAGTTCAGATCTGTACACTACCGGTACTATCTATTTTGACGACTTCCGTATATTAAGCGACATTAAGATTAATCAGACCACAATCCAACCATTAACTTTAGCCGGAAGTTTAAGATTTGACAGAGGTTGAAACGTTGCTATGTACTTCGATGCATACAGTACTTAGAAAATGTCATGATTCAAAGCCTATTAAAAATAAACGTGCAAGAATATGTAACAAAACTCACTTCGTTACCAATTTTCAAAGGTGGACAAGTCAGGCGTACTCGTTTATAGTAATCGAGGAGGGAGGAAGAGGGAAAGGTAAATAAATACAATTAATAAAAATCACACTTCAAATACCATTAAATGATCATACCGTATAATTGTAAATATTACAAACTTTACAAAACCCTTAATCTCTAACGAACACAATGGTGTTAAAAACACGCCATAACCCTACTGAACACAATGGTATTCTTAACAGACACTACGCAATAAAAGAACAAAGAACAAATTAACTAATTTATCGCGCTTCCAAAAATCTAACCAATACACAGAACGTATCGCCCGGTAGGTGACCGCCTTGACGACAAACTGACTTAGCCTATTTATACTAACAGAAAATTGTCCAGCAAGGGATCGTCTTGACGGTACGCTACATTAACAAATAATGCCAACCGTAATTAAAGCGGCATAAATAATTAAATTTATTTTATGGAGAGGTAATGAGTCATGAGTGTTTCTATTGAAGCAGGTTTCGACTTGTCTTAATGGACTCCCTAGTGACAAAGATAAGATGGAAGTACTACACAGGTAAGTGAGAAGGTTGAGGCTCTTATCATTAAAATAAAAAAAAAACAATGTAATATTTATAAATGAAAACAACACTATTTATTTCAATAAAAGCTAGATACATATAAATTTATATTTGTAATTCATTCATTTAGAGTCTTCTTATTTATCCAAAAATTGTGAGTATTATCAAAGCCAAGCCATTTTACGAAGACTTCATTACCGCGTCTTATGAGAATTTTTTCTATAAGATAAATATCAGGATACATAGCTTTCTGTAGTTCTTGCTCATAAAAACTACCAACAATGGGATTTTCTTGATAATCAAGTAGGTGATATGTTACAGGTTTAGTTCTCGAAATACGATGAATAGTAAAAATTTCTGTAGACCGATTAGGCGTATATCCTTTTTCAAAAACGTGTTTAGACTTGCTCACTCGCACTTTATCTCCTACCTGGAATTTCGGTTTTTTTGAAAAGACGATGATCGTAAGAGAATTGTGTCAAGATCTGCATTTCATTTTCTTTAGTCATGTCTTTAGGCTTCATATTTATTGTGCGATGTTTTCGATTATTATAAGATTCTATTAAACTGCGGAGAAAGTCAATCCACTTATAATTTCCTATTAAACTGAATTTTTTCCACATAATATTTTTTAGTGTTCGATTGAAACGTTCACAAATTGATGCTTTAAAATTGCTATAAGTAGAATAAAGGTTTATTTTATATTTTTTCATTAGACTTTGAAAATTTGTATTGTAGAACTCTTTGCCTCTATCCACTTGGAGATTTTTAGGAATGCGTCCCTTTTTTAATACAGACTCCATTGCGTTAGTGACATCTGTAGCAGTTTTCTATTTTACTGGAATTCCCCAAGCATATTTAGAGAACGTATCTATAATAGTTAATAGATAGCGACCTTTATTCTCTCTAGAATAGCTTTGCATCTCAACAAGATCAACTTGCCACGTCTCATCTATTCCGCGTATATCGACTTTTCGACGAGGATAGTTTCGACGTGCTGGTTTGTGTAACTCATCCACCACTCTTTGATATTTCATTTTTTCAATCTATTTGTTATAATTGAATGAAAAGTCAGACGGCGTAATCTTTATTTCTTCCTCCTTATTATTATCATTATTATTTGTTTGTAAATATTGAATCGCTTCTCCATACGATCGTAATTGTATTCTTATTATATTTAAAGATTTTTTAAGATTATTTATTGTATTCGTAGGCGTATCGACGTTAGCTTCACTAGTTTTTTGCAGATTATTTATTGTAGTCGTAAGCGTAGCGACGTTAGCTTCACTAGTTTTTTGCAACGTTCGTAAGTTTACAGCATCGTTACTCTCCTGAGGATCAGCTATATTAGAAATTCTTTTGTTATCCACGTCGTATTGTCCGTCTTTAGTAATTTTATACCCTATACCAGGAGAACTTCGATTACCCTCCTTTTTATTCAATATACGTCCAAACACATCAACACTCATTTTATTACTGAGGAATATTTAGGATTCTCTTAATATATATAGCCAGCTTCACGTAATTCTTCAATGATTGAATGAATTTCATTAATATGACTAGAATTACCAGAGGTTTTTTCGACGATAAGCAATCTCAATCGATCAACGAGCTCGTTTGGATCATCCCAATATACATAATCAAATATGTTCCTTTCCTTGCTATTTTATAGTTAGGAGAAAGACCTCTTCCATAAACAGTCGATTTTCGCTTCTTAGCACTACCGCTCAAAGATAAATTTGGTCCAATATACTTTTTGAATTTATTTACATGTTTATTGCGATATTCTCCATTTGTTTCGTATCTCTTACGATGAACGTTAGTGATTTCAAGAATTTTTATATAATTTTCAATATCCAATGAACTGATTAATTTGGAATCAGGTTCTTTACGAAAGAGAAGTTCCATCAAACCAGGCGTCTTGCTGTATGCTTTATCATTCACAGTCACGTTATCGTTTTGGAAGGAAATTGGAGAATTGCCTATTATAACATATGTATTTTCTTGCAAGCGAACACCAAGTGTCTTGTCTAAATTACTTTTCTGTTAAGGTTCATGCAATAGTCGAATATACTTTGCTACAATCGAATCATCCAATAGCTATTTTTGTTGTTTTGTAGTTCCATTTGAACTATCTTTGTCTAAATTAATTGCAGTTGTATCAAATGATGATTCAGAAGTCTTATTAAATTCGTCTTTTTTATCATCATCATCATCAATAGAAATAGCAGATTCAAATTTAGTATCAAGCGGGTACAATGTAGAATTCAATTCATTAACAGTACTATTGAAATATCGAGATATATAGGGAGTGTCAGCTATTGTTTTGGACTTGAAAACTTTATCGAACTTAATTTTCTTCTCCTTATTCGTTTCCTGTTCAGCAGTAACGTTAGTTTTAAAAGTTTTATTCAATGTATTTTCTAAATCAACTTCGTCACGTTTTATTATCTGATACTTACGTCTGACGGTATCACGAATCTCAGATAATTGCTCAAGCACCTTTTTCTCTCTTTCGTAATCAGCCATGTTGACGCTTGTAATTTCGAAAGTTAAATAATCTTGATTCACTTACTTCGCTATATTTATAGCAAAAGAATCAAATCCCTTTCTATGCCGTCCATCACTGATTGGTCTATCTCTATCGATAATTAAAAATTCATGATTATCGTCTCTCCAACATTTTGGACAAATTGCTTTAAACTTCTCAAAAGTCATATCTGAGTCAACATGATCATAGTAAATATGTTAAATATTCACGTCATTTTGTCAAAACAAAATTAGTAAATTCACATTATCTTGAATATGAGATGCTTCAGTATGCGAGCGTATGATTGACAGAAATAAAAACTATCTACTTTCTTATGTCTTCCCATACAGAAGAATGCTCTCATGTTGTCCTGCTTTTCAGTGGCTATATCGTCAAAAATCATGATGGAATGTGGATGAGCTTTATCTGGTGAAACAACTTTCTCATGCTCGCTGAATGCATGATACTGTATACCATCAATCGGTTCCAATAAATCTTTTAAAAACTTATACTTTGGTTGATTGAGGGACTTTGAATAAACATAAACGTTTTTGAATCTAAGTCCATTAGGATGTGTGATTAGTGTTAGCAAACAGTTAGTTTTTCCAAAGTTACTAGGACTACAGAAATCTGCTCGTATACTGTCGGGTAGTAGTTCGCCATGTCTTTTTTCTCATTTTTCCGTCTCCATCACACTATCAAAATTTATGACTTGCAACTTAACTCTTTGAAGTCCATATTGTTTTTAAGTCACCGATCGAACAACGAATAAGTCTACTGTCTATAAAAAGACTGCTTATATATTTTTAGTTTCATTAAGACTTTGTCTTCTAAAGAGGTATGGTCATTCGTCGTGAAAGAAAGATTGGTGGTGGTGGCTTAGTGAATAAGATCCTCAATAACTTGACATTAGAAGTTTATGTGCCTGGTTATCAGTATCCCAAACCGACTTGATTGGGGTGATCCTGGAATAAATCCGCTAGACGCTGCTTGTAAAGATCAGGATATTGTTTATTCTGAGAACCGAGAGAATATTGACGCCAGTAACAAAGCCGACAAAATTCTAGCTACACAGGCTTGGGATAGAGTGCGAGCGAAAGATAGTAGTTTTGGTGAGAAAGTTACTACGTTAGCTGTAGCCAACATAATAAAAGTTAAAAGTAAACTTGGTATGGGTGTTAAAATTGTAAAGCGTGAAAAGAAACGAGGTGAAGGATTAAAAAATCGTCAATAACAACGACGACGACGACGAAAGACACCTCTAAAAAGTAAAAATCTATTAATTACATTGAATGAAATTATTGACGTTGCCTCGAGAGTAATAGATCACTTTTCGTCATTCGTTCGGTTATAAAAGGCGCCAAAAAAGCTGTGAAGAAGGCTGGAGGTAGAAGAAAAATAAATCTGCCCCGTATTCTAACGATTCCTAGTAAAGTAGGTGGAACTCCTTTTTTTAATTCCATTATTTGCCGCTTTGAGCACCACTGGAGCTCTAGATAGAGAAGCTGCTTCAATAACAAAAGCCGTTAATAGTGCTGAAAGTTAATTGAAAGAAGCTCATAGACACAATAAAACTGTGGAAGCTATTGCTACTGATAAAAGAATTTATTTGAAATCGCATTGTAAAGGTTATTGCCTTCATCTGAAATCATATTCAAGTGGAAATAGGTTAAAAAAAAGCTCAAAGTAGCTTATCTAATCGAGCTCTGACAGATCACGATATAAAGAAATATGTTAAAATACTAATAATTGCCAATTTTCGAGGTGTTTTCATGCGTAATGCTCTACCATTCGATGGACCGCGATATCAAGAGAGCTATTGTAAATTTAGATGATGAAAGTAGACCATGTACTTATTGGATAGTATATAAATAGAAAGGTGGTGAAGTTATGTATTTTAATAGTTTTGGTAATCTTCAACCGGCTATTAATCTATTGCTTTATCTCAAAGTTAATCAAATCATATGTAATTATATTAGATATCAAGATTTTAATTCGTACAATTGCGGCCATCTTTGTCTCAAATTTCTTTTAAACAAACTACAGAAGAAACGACTAGTATAAAATATACTCATTCAAAGAATGACTATCATTTGATATGAATCTGTAATGGAGAATATACTACTATTGAGTCTCTCGGGAACATCATCCGTACTCGAAATAAATTATCTTCATCCACGCTATACGATATGCGCGCCAAGCAAGCTAGAGACACTACCCCCTCTCTGAGGGCTCACACCTAGCAAGCATTTAGCTTATCCAACGTCCTACCAACATCAACAGCGATCTACCATTACAACCTCTATAGGAGGAATCTACCTTGACAGTCTATAAAATAAAATTAATTATTTTATTATTTATGAATAGGGGAGGGGGCCTCGGGGGGGGGGGTCGCGACTAGGTCAATAACTCACTCCGGGGAGTAGGTGGGAGGAACCATCCACTTCCTGATCACCCATGATGCGTGCGCCGTGCGCGCACGCATGCACAATCCCCTATGTATATTTCAAGACACCTGGACCCCCACAAAGTGGCTTGAAACATACATTGCTTACCTACTGCAGTCTAATGGTAATCGCTGAAGTGTCAAAATGGATGATTATCAAACTAAAAATTTGTGCTTTCTGAGCTTGTGAAATCGCAATCAGACACAAGTATATTCTGTTCAAACATAATTGTGATTACAGTTATAATGTTTTGAATAAGGAATTTAAGCAAATAGACAATTTCCTAAATGCTATAGTGAGAGAAGTGGAACTAATAATAAATTAAGCGAGTACGAATACTGAATTTGTTCCAGTTAAACAGCCAACTTTCTCAAGAAAATACCATAACAAGAAAATAGTTATTTTACTGCTTCTGCTAGTTAAAAGAATGAATATTTATAGGCTACCAGCGAAGATGCTGATATTATTATTACGCACAAGATTCACAAAATTATAATAATATATCCGAACTAAGCGAGAATGAGTACCTAGCTATCATAAGTGCATGAATGCGTTAGATAAAAATGACTCCAATTTTTTTGATACGAGTTATGTTGTGCGTAAAGAAAAAAATGAAGCTTACATGCTAAGTAACTGTACAGTGATTTTTGACATGTTGGGGTTAGTGTTTTGGAAAGCAATGTCAACCATTTGGTTGAAATATATAAACCAGAATTCGCAAAAATGAAAACAGATACTCCAATACAAATGGGGTAGACGGAACAGATGAAGCACGAGACAATGACGGGGGAACTTCACAAGCCAGGCAGATGTAATTATGCATTACGCAAATACGATATTCGACGTATTGATGAAATTAAGCAGGTGGATCTCATCGAGATGCATGGTCAATCTAGACTAAATCACGACTACAATTGGTTTACCACGATAATTGATAAGACAGCCGACAAAAGGTAAAAAATTCCTGAACTAAAAACGACACCTTACGTACCCGAAGGATTTTGACGCACTGAATTCAAATCTGGCTTCAGATTTTACCCAGCACCTTAGGTTTGCAAAATATCCTAACCTATAAGTATGAAAAACATGTTTTTTAGTAATATTCGCGGTTCTCTACTACCACCATTAATTTTTTTTAACTGATATCATCTTTTTAAATCAAAACTCTCACCCTACAATACTCTGCCTCCAAATTTTTTACTAATATCTCAAAAACCTGGAAAATTAAGATATGAACCGATATATCATACCTATCTTCTATAAGATGTAGAATTCATATTGAATGTTAAAACTACTTTAGAACCTCAAATTTTCTAGACTAAAAATGCAAGAAGATACTATTCTTGATCCTAAGTAGTATAGCAATGTATGTTCCAGCACACCTGCAGGGGGTATTGTTAATAATAATTGTTAATGTTAACAATTATTATTAACAATATTCGTGGGGGGGGTCCCTGGTTTAACCCTTTGATTCCCTGGCCTAACGCTTCAATGTTAATTATTATTAATGTTAATAATTGTTTATAATTTTTTGAGGAAGGTTTCTAGAGCTCCTAGTCACTAGGGTTCCTAGTGCCTAGGAACCCTATACCTAGTGCTTTCAGTCTAATTGAATTTAAATATATTTTTTTAAAAAGTTATAAATATATATTATTGACAATTTACTTGCTTTATTGAAAATGAAACGAGTAGAAAATAGCGGTGATTTTTGAAAAAAATGAAGACACAGACCGGAGAATCGATCCGGAGTCCTCTGGGTTGGCAGGCTAGCGCTCTACCACTAGAGCCAATGCCACATGTACCTTAGAAGATGCATATTGTGTATATTAGCTATACACGCATACATTTGGTTTTAGGCCTGAGCGTGCGGAGGAGGGGGAGCGCATGCTGTCTATAGTTCTAACTTGAGGATGCGTGCTCTCTCTCTCCCTCTTTCTAGCTCTGACTCAGCGTGGACCACAGCGTGCGGAGGAGGAGGGAGCGCATGCTGTCTATAGTTCTAGCCTGATGGGGATGTCCTACTATAGTAGTAGTAAACGTACGCTCTCTCTCTCTTTCTCTCTCTCTCTTTCTCTCTCTCTCTCCTACGCTCTAGCTAAGCGTGGACCATGATGCGTGGAGGGGAGCGTATGCTGTCTATAATCAATGCGTGCTCTCTCCACGAAGGGAATGTTTTCGTGAGAATGCTAGAAACTACGAATGCAGTCGCTCGACTGACGCCTCCTTGAGATGTTCCTCCTAAACATCTCTGCTAGGAGAGAACCTTATTCCCATCCGTTCGCCCTTTCTTGCAATCGTTATGATTATTTTACTACATAAATAAGTACACATTTCATTATTTATTCAATATTTATTATTTTTAATTATACATTGAGTAGAGTACACTTTGTCTATAATCTTTATGTTCAGTGTCTGACATAGCTATTTTAAAATTATCAGTTGAATTTTTATATGAATTATAGTCATCTGTAAATCTTTCGGCTGTGTCGATCCCTTTTGATTTTCCTTGTTTTCGTCTTTCCATCATCCAATCGTGTATCTTTTGTGTATTGACCGCAGCACATACTATATTCTCACGATTTTGACTATGATATATGCATGATGGTTTAAATTTAAAACTTAAATCTTCCAATCGCAGACATCTCATTTTAGTTTCAATATCTAAAATATTTCTATAATTAAAAAAAAAAACTAATTAAATTCGAATTTAGAATTTTATACTATTGTATATTATTTGAACCTACTTTTCAGGAATAATTTTTTTGAGTCATTGCTTCCTTTGTAATCCTTTCACATAAATATTTCTACAATAATGTAAATGACTACGAATAGTACAATTTAAAAAATTATATGGTAAAATACCATTTGTGATGTTCGTATCACTTATAAATAAAATAATTCGAACTCTCGTAATCTAGCTAATGAGTAAGAATTTGTTTCCAATGATTTTACTCTAATTGTCAAGAAAATAGATAAATGAATCAAATATAATAAATAAGTAAATCAAATATACATAAGTAAGTGCAATATATCGAGGAAAGTCAGACAATGCCCTAGTTTCTTATGGTGCGAATTGTCCCATAAGCAGAGTTAAAGTCTTTCTTTGATAGGATATAATTCGGCCCAAGTTTCTTATAGCGCGAGATGTTCTATAAGTCGAGCTCAAATTATAAGGAAAGGATAGTCTTGCTTAGTTAATCACAATGAGAGAAAGAACTTAGGTATTAATCCAAGTTTATTCAGACTCGTGCGCTCACCTTGCAAGGCTAGAAGTGAATGCTAGCCTGTGCAAAGGTAGGCCTATTTATACATAGATTTTCCCGCTTATTATTGCAGGAGAGATTTCATCGAAAATTCGAGAGACATTCGCGAATTTTGAGAAATAAGTTTTCTTAATTTACAAGTAAATAACCATTAATATTAAGTTTTTAACATATGTAAACTTTACAGAATTAGTTATTTGTTGATTTTATACAATATGTAATTATCGCCAATAGTGTCGTCAAAAGTTATTAACTAATAAAGTTAATTAACGTGATATTACATTATTTACAATAGAAAATTATTAAAATTTCATATAACTTTATAGTTGATTAATTTTGGAAGTATTTTCCAAAATTAATTATTTAAATTAATTAATAACATTTGAATTATGACTAATTTTTCATATTTGTAACGGTTTTTTCTAATCTTAATATGCAATTATTAGATTAATTATCTAAGATTTCTAAATCATAAAGTTATCATTATCAAGTATTAACTTAATATTTTCGTTTTATATATAGCTTATTGTTTAAATAAATTATTAATTGTTTATTTATTAATAACAGTTATTATTCAGCTGTTATTAATGAAACCAATTCTTACTCATGTTCTATGCTTATTCATTTTGCATATAAATTATTTATATTTTTCTAATATTTCTAATGTTAATAAATAAATCAACTTTGCATATTGATATTCATTATTAATTTATAATTGAATGAGATATTATGAATCTACATGTTAAAATCTATATAATCGATACTTTGTTATATTAAAATTATCTATAATTAACATATTTTTCTTAATATCATGAATCATTATATCTATGTCTATTATTTTGTGACGTCACGCTGTTTATTTTGATTCGACTCTTATTTGTATACAGTCGCGTAAACAGTGAGGTAGCACCGCTTAATGTATTGTTTTGACTAAACAGATAAATACGTTAGACTAGTTGCAGTCATTTAATAAATAGCTCATAAATAGGACCGTTACACATTTCTCCGTAATATACCTATAAAATTGATTATATTAAATATTTCAAATAAAATCAATATTAATTAACGATAATAAAAATAAATACCATGATGATGTAATTCCAATCACTTATTAACACTGTGATATTCAATAGGCAGTTTGAGCCAATGATATGGAGGTTTAAAAAGTAGTACTGTAGGTGAAGTATTAGAACATACTGGTAAATAGGCAAACTCCTTACAAATAAAACTATTATTAGGACTCTGAAAGCCTTGAATATCTAAAATATAGTTCATCTTAGAGTATAAATCCAATTATTCTCTATGATATGTGAGTCGAATCGTATCTCAAAGCAATAATGACTATATTTTTATTCTGAAGATCTATATAAACCCTTTAATACTATATTAATAAGTTAATAACTAAATTAATAAGTAGGTGCTACAGTCGGTTCACCCCCACTCTTTCGTTTGAGCTATCCCTTCCATATACTACTTACAGCGCCCTCACTTTATAGGCAGAGCCCTCACTTAACCTTTAAAAACCGCTTTGGCCTAGCAAAAGAGCGCAGTCTCTCGAGACAGCCTGCAATCTAAGCTTGCCTTACCTTACTCCATTTGCAAGTAGTTCCTCAGTAGT